AAAGTTGAGACTAGATGTGTAAAGATGTGCAAGAAAACAAAATTAACCAAATTAAGTTTCATGAGGAAATTGACCAATTTATTGAACAATTTAAAGGAGAGATAATTGGTCAGCATTTTCAATACCTTCTAAACACAACAAGAAAGAACGCTATAGTCGAGTACCTCGACTATCAGATACCCGTTACTCAGCTAAAGGGACCAAAGGGAAATGGAGATATGCAAGCAGCAAAGCGAAATTAAAATGCGCCACCTACCTGCGGTAGACAGATTTAAGCGTTATGGGCGTTAGAGTGGGCGTGGCAAATTTATTTTTGGATCAATCGATAGGTATTGACGACACCAATACATTTCAGTTAAAATTTTTCATCTAGCATCCAAATTGTGGGCGTCACAGATTTTCGCGGTTTGTGGGCGTTTAAGTGGGCGTGGCAAACTTTTTTTTAGGTCAATCGATAGGTATTGATGAGAACAATACATTTCAGTTAAAATTTTCTATCTAGCATCAAAACTGTAGGAGTTTCAGTTTTGGGCGGCTTGTGGGCGTTAGAGTGGGCGTGGCAGTCTACTGAAACAAACTTGCGCTGCGTAAGAAGCTCAGGAATCTGTACGCCAAATCTCAATAGCCTAGCTCTCATAGTTTCCGAGATCTCAGCGTTCATACGGACAGACAGACGGACAGACGGACAGACGGTCAGACGGACAGACGGACAGACGGACAGACGGACAGACGGACATGGCTAGATCGACTCGGCTAGTGATCCTGATCAAGAATATATATACTTTATGGGGTCGGAAACGCTTCCTTCTGCCTGTTACATACTTTCCGACGAATCTAGTATACCCTTTTACTCTACGAGTAACGGGTATAATTACAGTCCGATAAATTTCCACTCCCAAGAATTGATGATGTTTTGGATCAACTGGGACGAGCAAAATATTTTCATGCCTTGACTTAATGTCAGGATTTCATCAAATGGAACTCGAAAAAAGTTCAAGGGATATAACGTCATTTTCAACGAGCAATGGCTCGTATCGCTTCACGCGATTACCTTTCGGATTAAAAATAGCTCCTAATTCATTTCAAAGAATGATGACTATTGCATTCTCTGGATTAGAATCTTCACAAGCATTCCTTTATATGGATGACTTAATAGTTATAGGTTGTTCCGAGAAGCATATGCTTAAAAACTTAACAGACGTTTTTGAGAAATGCCGGAAATACCATCTAAAGTTACATCCAAAAAAAATTTAATTTTTTATGCATGAAGTGGCTTTTCTCGGTCATAAATGCACAGACAAAGGAATACTTCCAGACGACAAGAAATATGACGTCCTTATGAATTACCCTGTGCCGCACGATGCGGACAGCGCTAGACAATTTGTAGCATTTTGCAATTATTATAGATGCTTTATAAAAAATTTCGCCGAACATTCACGGCACATAACAAGATTATGTAAAAAGAATGTTTCTTTTGAATGGACAGATGAATGCCAAAACGCATTCCAATATTTAAAAACAAAACTAAAGGAACCTACTTTGCTACAATATCTCGATTTCAGCAAAGAATTTTGTATTATAACTGATGCAAGTAAACAAGCGTGTGGAGCGGTTTTAACTCAAAACCATAACGGACTCCAACTTCCCATTGCATATGCATCAAGAGCTTTCACTAAGGGAGAAAGTAATAATTGTACAACAGAGCAGGAATTAGCTGCAATTCACTGGAGAATACTACATTTTCGACCATATATTTATGGAAATCACTTTACAATTAAAGCAGATCACAGACCATTAATATATATATTTTCAATGATAAATCCGAGCTCCAAACTGACACGTATGAGGCTAGAGTTAGAAGAGTATGATTTCACAGTTGAATACCTAAAGGGAAAAGACAATTATGTAGCTGATGCGTTATAAAGAATAACCATTAAAGATCTACAAAACATTAATGGTAATATAAAGAAAGTCACTACTAGATGTCAAAATAGACAGAAATTCCGCTCGGAAAACAAACAAATAAAATTGCCTACGCGTTCTATAGAGAAAGCTTCTAAGCCCAACGTATATGAAGTCATAAACAATGACGAAGTTCGTAAGGTAGTGACCTTGCATGTAAAGGATATACTATGTTTATTTAAACATGGTAGGCAAATTACTGCAAGATATGATGTTAGCGATTTATATACCAATGGACTCCTAGACTTAGGTCAATTTTTCCAAAGGCTTGAAATGCAAGCCGGTATAAATAAAATCAGCCAACTCAAAATGGAACCGTGGGAAAATATCTTTGAACGATTATCAATAAATAATTTTAAACAAATGGGCAACAAGATATTGAATACCTTAAGAGTAGCGCTACTCAACCCGGTGGCCCTTATAGAAAAACAAGACGAGAAAGAAGCAATTCTGTCTAAATTTCATGATGATCCAATACATGAAGGATATACTGGTATTACAAAAACCTTGGCCACGGTTTTTTGGCAAGGTATGACTCGAGATATTACTGAATACATACGAAAATGTCAGAAATGCCAAAAAGCTAAGATAACTAAGCACAAAAAGACTCCATTAATAATAACTGATACGCCTATAAATGCTTTCGACAGAGCGATAGTGGACACTATTGGTCCACTACCAAAATCAGAAACTGGCAATGAGTATGCAGTCACTCTAATATATGACCTTACTAAATATTTAGTTGCCATACCAGTTCCAAATAAAAACGCGAACACTGTCGCTAAAGCAATTTTTGAATCATTTATTACGATGTACGATCCAATGAAGACGTTCATTACGGACATGGGTACATAATATAAGAATTCAATTATAAATGACTTGTGCAAATATCTAAAAATTGAAAATATAACATCTACGGCACACCACCACCAGACAGTGTGAACAATAGAACGAAGTCATAGAAGTTTCCATTTATACATACGCTCATATATATCGGTTGATAAAACTGATTGGGACGTATGGCTTCAATATTTCGTTTTTTGTTTCAACACGACCACTTCAATGGCACTGATTATTGTCCATACGAGCTAGTATTTGGTAAAACAAATAATTTACCAAAACAATTTAAAAGTATAGAAAATATAGAACCCATATATAATATAGATGAGCATAGTCATATAAGGAAAGTAAATATAGATTAGAAGTAGCATACAAAAGAGCTAGAATAATGATAGAAAAAAATAAGGAAAATAATAAGATAGTATATGATCAGGAAATAAAAAACATGATATATCAGTAGGTTATCAAGTCCTTTTAAGAAATGAAACAGGTCATAAGTAAGATTATCAATATACTGGTCCGTATAAAGTAACGGAAATAGGAGAAAGAAATAACATTATAATAACAAATAATAAGAACAAAAAACAAACAGTTCATAAGGATAGATTAAAAATGTTTATTTCATAATTGCATTCAGCATGGCCATGCTAAGAAATACTTTTTCTTTAAAGACGAATATTATTCCTATTTCCATTCTCTTTGTAGGTAAAAAAAAAAAATTAAAAAAAAAAAATTTTTAAATATATAATTATTTCTTTAAGTAAAATATACTAATAAAATAACTTCATAATATTACGTTACTTTTCAAATTAAGAATTTCAATCGTGAATTATTAAAAAAAATTAATTTTTATTTTTTATTCACTAAGTTACAACTTCACAACATTTCCTTAGTATCGACTTTTATTCAACGGTTCACCATTATTTTTTTTTTATTCGACCGATCTTCTCGGATGCAAAAACGGACTCCCTGGCCAAGGGCCGATTATCTGATAAACAAACCTCGGTTTAAGAGAATTGGGGCAGTCATTAAGAGTTGGGCAAGGGTTGGACTCAAGAGAGTCGGGAAATCGGATGATCAAATTCTCTGCTCAATTGTCAAACGGATTACGCTGCAGTTTTGGAGCTCGCCGGGTGTTGACCGGATGCTTGTGTTTACATTAGCTGGACCCAGCTTAGTTTATGTTAGGTGGACTGCGGCGCAATTGAATCTTAAAAATGAACTTCGATTGAAGTGGGTGATTCTGTGGGAACGCTGTGTAAGGGGATCCCAGCTAAGAATTGTTTATAAGAAATTGTTTACGACTCGGGTAAGGCGGCTTAGATATTTTTTGAATTTAAATACAAGCGTGATAATTACATATAGTAGAACAAGGAAGAACGCTATAGTCGAGAACCTCGACTATCAGATAGCCGTTACTCAGCTAAACAGAGATATGCAAGCAGCAAAGCGAGATTAAAATGCGCCACCTACCGGCGGTATACAGATTTAAGCGATATGGGCGTTAGAGTGGGCGTGGCAAATTTTGTTTTGGATCAATCGATAGGTATTGACGAGACCAATACATTTCAGTTAAGATTTTGTATCTAGCATGAAAATTATGGGCGTCACAGGTTTTCGCGGTTTGTGGGCGTCAAAGTGGGCGTGGCACTCTGCTGAAACAAACTTGCGCTGCGTAAGAAGCTCAGGCATCTGCACGCCAAATCTCAATAGCCTAGCTCCCATAGTTTCCGAGATCTCAGCGTTCATCCGGACAGACAGACAGACGGACATGGCTAGATCGACTCGGCTAGTGATCCTGATCAAGAATATATATACTTTGTGGGGTTGGAACCTCGTCCTTCTGCCTGTGTTGTGACGATTCGCACCCGATCGTCAAAGTTGAGCAGAAGTCTACTCTGGGGGTCTTTCACACACTTTGTAATAAAAACTCAGAAATTTGTTGAACTTCACCAGTTGTAATTATTTGTATACTTTCAATCTTTGACTTAATTGCTAACTTTGATTTACAAATTAGGAAATATAAAAGCTCGGTTATAAACGCGACCAGCTTCTCCTTATGTCTTCTTCGTAGTGTGGTGCTGCTAACATTAGCAGCAGAAATCTAACATTCGCTGTTAAAACTGCTGTTGTCCACTGCTTCTCAGAGTCGCCAGAAACAGCTGTCCAGCTTCTCCTAATCGACAGAAACACCCGTTCATGCCGCCCCCAATACTGGACCCAGTATTCAAAGCCTTAGACCATGCTTAACTCTGAAAAGGTTGAAGTGTGTTATGGAGTGAATGCGGGTATATTCAAAGGTGCATGGGTTATGTACTTGGGCTAGACTCTTCAGTAAATCTTGGCAAAGGCAAACGACAAATCTTTGACACAGACCTCTTGTAAATACCCGTTGAGGTCTTAATTGTAGCTACTCGAACGAGCCCATCGGCCCCAGGATGTAAGTCGATGATTCGCCCTAATTTCCAGTCAGAAGGACCAGTTCGATCATCCTTGATGATGATCATGTCGTTACGCTGAAGATTGTCAGTTTCGTGGCGCCACTTGGGGCGCGCCTGCAGATGAGATAGCCAATCTGCACTCCATTTTCTCCAAAAGAGGCAAAACATCCTTTGACCATTCAGGAACTCTGTGTTTAATGAAGAATCCTTAAGACTCGGCTCAGGGAGTGACATCATCGAATCCCCGATTAAAAAATGTGCAGGGGTGAGAGCTTGCAAATCATCTAAGTCAGACGTTAAGGGGCATAATGGCCGAGAGTTTAAGCACGCTTCTATCTGGACAAGAATGGTAGACAGCTGCTCGTACGTCATTCGAATCCCATTAAACGATCGATAAAGATGGGTTTTAACCGCTTTTACGTTGGCTTCCCAGAGCCCTCCAAAGTTTGGACTATGTGGAGGATTGAAATGCCACTGAATGTTTCGACGAGTAAGTTCAGGAACTACTGTCTCTTCAACTCCTTTATAGAATTCATTGGTCCACAGCTTTAGAGACTTGTCGGATGAGATAAAGTTGGTTTCACAGTCGCTGTATAGATGTTGACAAAAACCCCTACGTCCGATAAAGCGCTGCAGCGCCCACAGAAAATGCTGTGCCGACATTCCCGTGACTGCTTCCAAATGAATCGCTTTGCTCGCTAAGCAAATAAAAACTGCAATGTATGCTTTATAGCAAGTGTGACCTCTGAATCTGGATGACTTTATCTTAATCGCACCAGTGTAATCAACTCCAGTTGCTTCGAACGCCCGTTTGGGCGGATCGACACGGTGCGCTGGTAAATCTCCCATCAGTTGGCTTGATGGTGACGGCCGGTGTTTGAAACAGGTTACGCACTGTCGCAGAATCCTTTTTACTGCCTGTTTACCGTTGACGATCCAGAAAACTTGATGAATTGTAGATAAAGTTAGTTGCACACCGCCATGTAAGGTGTTGTGATGAGCGTTCCTTATAACCAAAATAGTCAGGTGGTGGGCCTTTGGAAGGATTATTGGTGTGCGTTGAGACATGGAGAGATGCAAAGCATTCTTAAGTCTGCCTTTAACTCTCATGAGCCCCTCATCGTCGAGAAACGGTGATAGCTGGCTGAGTTTGTTGTGTGTTGAAATTCAGATACCTGAATAGGGCCGGTGAGTCTATCCGCTTTTTTGTGACGAGTATTATAAATGAATCGTTTGACGTAGGCTGTAACGAATAAGAGTTTATTATAGGAGGAATATGATTCGATAAATGGTTGCACTTCTATACAAATGTGGGCTCCGATGTGCTTTAAGGATTGCTCTCCTAAAACAAGTTCTGATTTTGGGGACTGAACTGGATTGACTGGCCAATGCTCCTCTGAAAGATGCAGCCAATGTGGTCCGTTCCACCAAAGCGTGTGGTGTTTTAGCTGAGAAGGGGTGAGTCCGCGTGTAGCACAATCTGCTGGGTTTTCTTGCGTAAGAACATGTCTCCACTGCGATGGCGAGCTTGCCTCCAGGATTGCTCCAATTCTATTCGACACAAATGTCTTCCAACGCCTAGGGTCACCGCTGATCCAATACAGCACTATCATTGCATCCGACCAGTAGTGTACGGATATGGTGTGATGTGATGCTTGAAGTTGATTGACAATCCAATCGGCTAATTGTGTACACAGCAGGGCTCCGGATAACTCAACTCTCGGAATTGTTAGCGGCTTAACAGGTGTGACTCGACTGCGGGCGCCTAATAAGTTAACCTGCACGGAACCATCCGTACAACTAGCTCGAAGATAAGCGCATGCTGCATACGCCATGGATGATCCATCACAAAACATGTGTAGTTGCAACGTCGAGACATGCCTTAAATCGAAGCCTAACCACCGAGGGATGTGTATCTCTTCAATGTCGGGGAGCTCTTGAATGAGCTGTCGCCACCGCTCGGCGAGTTGATCTGGCAATGGGTCGTCCCAATCTAATGATGCGGGGGGCTCATCCTTGCGCTCGATACGAAAACTCCAAACTTCCTTCAACAGGATTTTCGCAGCGATGATCACTGGTGCCAGGTATCCCAACGGATCGAATAAGCGTGCTACTGTGGATAGTATAGAACGTTTGGTGAATATAGGATTGAGAGAAAACTTAAGATTAAAACCAAAACCATCTTTGTTTGGATGCCAATACAACCCTAAAGTTTTAATGGAGTCCTTATTGTCGTTGGGATGCTTTCTAAGATATCTGGATGGTTGGATGCCCACTTCTTGAGCTCCATGCCTGCTGATTGCAGAGCTGCGATGACATCATTGCGAATTTTTAGAGCTCCGTCGATGGTCTCGTGTCCTGTTTGAACATCGTCCACATAGATTTCTTTTTTAAGGACATGCTCGGCCAGAGGATAGCGTTCGCGCTCGTCGGACGCAATCTGATGTATGACTCGAATCGCCGTGAAGGGTGCCGAGGCAGTGCCAAACGTTACTGTAGTCAAAAAATATTCCTTGATGAGTCCCTTTTCATCGCGCCAGAAAATTCGCTGATACTGGGCATCTTCTTCATGCATATCTATGCAGCGATACATTTTCGTTATATCGGCCACGAAGACATACCGATGGAAACGCCAGTTGAGTATAACTCCTCCAAGATCGTTTTGTAGGGCGGGAGCCGTGCATAAAATATCATTCAAAGACCTCCCGTTAGACGATTTGCACGAAGCGTCGTATACGACGCGCATCTTTGTAGTTAAATTGTCGTCTTTGATCACAGCATGATGTGGAACGGTGCACGCAGAGATTGAGAGTTGCCTTTGAGAGTTGATCCTAGTGTGTTCTTCCTCACTGCCTTTTACCTCTTTTATCTGCTTGAGATCAAAGTACTCTTGAATAGTGCTGACATACTGTTGACTGAAATCTGGCCGATGATTAAGTTTCCTTTCCAGAGCGTGGAAACGGTTTAATGCGATTTGCCTTGACCGGCCGATCACCTGTGTGGGGTCAAACAACGTTTTTAAAGGCAATCGAACTAGATATTTCCCATTCGGCTGACGGACATGAGTTTGTTGAAAGTGGTCTTCACACCATTTTTCCTCTGCGTTGAGTTGTCTTGTTGTGGAGACCTGATCCAATTCGAAAAACCTCTGTACCATGTTGTTTAGGTTTGCCAAATTACAACGAATGGAGATTGATGTCGTCTGGGCTGCTTCAGCTGGTCCAAAAACTATCCAGCCCAGCTGTGTGTTTTGTGCAATTGGTTCTGCAACCGTCCCTTTGCGTATGTCCGGAAGCATTAATTGCGGGATTATGTCGACACCGATAAGTAGGTCAATGCGACCCGACTTGATGAAATTAGGATCTGCAAAGGATAACCCTTGGAGATGTTTACAGGACTTAATGTTTACATTTTGTTTTGGTAAATGACCTGTTAGTGACCAAAGGATGAAAGCTGAGGATACGTAGGCATTAAAATCCGATCCTGAACATGAGATTATGGTGAAGTCGGTGCTGTGCCTGCACTGATTATGCGAAGTATTACCAACTCCCGTGATCTAAGCTCGAACAGGATGCCGTTTGAGTCTAAGCGCTTGAACGATGTTTTCCGTGATGAGGGTGCCTTCCGAGCCATGGTCGATTAGAGCTCGAACTAAAGCTGACTGCCCAGTGGAGTTATTTACGATCCGAACCAGTGCAGTAGCAAGAAGGGTCGTTGAGTTCAGATGGGAGGCAACTGCGCTGAAGAGTTGCGTTGATGGTGCATTTTGTACAGCGGCTGCGCTCCGACCAGAGTCTGAAGCATGCTGTCGGGATACTTCAGGAGTCAATGAAGAACTTTGTTGAGCATTCGGGAAATGTAACAAAGTGTGGTGCCGTTGACCACATTGCGAGCAGTTTCGGTTGCTGCTGCATTGACTGAGAGAATGGGAAGCACTAAGGCAGTTGATGCATGCCTTCGAGCGGTCGACTATAACCTTTCGCGCGAAACAATCCTTGGCAAGGAAGTCCGGGCACCGTCTTAGAACGTGATTCTGTTGGCAGAGCGAGCACCTGATGGATCCAGACTCAAGAGTACTGTGGAAGCTGTGTCCCCTAACAGTGGAGTTTCCCGATGGTCTGGTTGTCTGGCGATGGTTGGTCGATTGTTTAGATGATCTAACTGGAACGGCTGGTTTCCTACTCTCGATTAGGTCGATGCTGACTAATCGATTGTGAAGAAACACCTCCAGCTTTGTGAAGGTGGGGATTTCCACGTTGTTGTCCAGGGAATGTTCCCAGGCCTGTGTTATGCTGATAGGCAGCTTTGTGAGTAAGTGATGTACCAACCAATGATCACAGGAATCAATGGCAATGTGTAGTCGTCGGAATTCACTAATACATACATTTGCCAAGTTTAACAAAGTCCAGACTCAAGAGTACTGTGGAAGCTGTGTCCCCTAACAGTGGAGTTTCCCGATGGTCTGGTTGTCTGGCGATGGTTGGTCGATTGTATAGATGATCTAACTGGAACGGCTGGTTTCCTACTCTCGATTAGGTCGATGCTGACCAATCGATTGTGAAGAAACACCTCCAGCTTTGTGAAGGTGGGGATTTCCACGTTGTTGTCCAGGGAATGTTCCCAGGCCTGTGTTATGCTGATAGGCAGCTTTGTGAGTAAGTGATGTACCAACCAATGATCACAGGAATCAATGGCAATGTGTAGTCGTCGGAATTCACTAATACATACATTTGCCAAGTTTAACAAAGTCCTAAGGTCCACCGCGATCTCCTTGGACAGTGGCTCGATTCCGTACAGTGCATTCATATTGTACATGAACTGCAGTCGAGGGTTGTTGTATCGTTTTACCACAAGGTTCCATGCCACTGAATAGTTGGTTTCTGTTAATGCCATATGGTTTATATCCTGGTCTCGTCCGTGCGGTAGTGCTTGCTTCAAGAAATGAAATTTTTGAATGTTTGAAAGAGATTGATTTTCATGTATTAGCTGCGTAAAGCTGTCATAAAAAGATGGCCAATCTGCAAAATTCATCGGCGAAAGAACAATAAATGATGCTGTATGCTTGCTCAAAATTGTCTTCAACAGCATCCGCAAAATATGGATGCGATCGTGGACATTGCTGTAAAATGAGCGCTTGATGATTTGTGTAAAATTGTTTTGAAAGCTCGTT